ATCTTTAGCAACCTGAGCAGCTGGAAACAATTTTTCCAAACATTTTGGAAACAGTAGGCCTCTTTGGTCAGTGTGGTAAAGCCAACAAACAGATTATAAACCAAAAGCATTTGAGATGCTTTGAAAACTTTTCTTCTTATTATTTTTTTTATATAAATATTCTGTATTCTTCACTCTAATTGATGATTGTGAAGCCACCAGTTGCACGCACCGCCCGCTGCATGTCTGTGCGTGATGACGTTTCCAAAAAGCGGGCGGACTCAAATTGATCAAATGGGTGGGAGGGTGTGAGATTACGCAGCGCTCCGATGGATGCGGTTATTGTTGAGGACTACTTGTAGTCTGGCTGAGGGGCTGAGCGCAGCATGGGCACCGGGGACTACGTCTGCCTGACCCTGCGTGGAGGCGCACCGTGGGGATTCACCCTAAAAGAGGGAGAGGGGGACATTTACAGACCTTTACTCGTTTCCCAGGTATCTCCTTATTCTGTTTTGTTTAGTTTTTCATATCACTTTCTTATAAGGTATCAGTTTAAGATCCAGATTCAGAAAATATTTTTATCATTTACTTGTAAAATCCCTGATGTGTTAAAACACTTTTTTTCCCCGACTGACTTTTTTTGCGTTGGCAGTGTTTTGGTGAGAGATTCCTCAGCATCCTTATATGGTCAAGGCCAAAAAGAGAGTGCGAGGCTCAGGACAGTGTGAGGTTTTCATGGGTTTGCAGGGACTTCTGCAAGAAAAATAAGGGATTTGTTTTAACCAGAGCAAGAAACTGTGCGAGTTATATCTTAAATCAGATGGTCAACTAAAGGGGATAAAGGTGAACGTTAGACTTTTTGAAAAAGGTGCAGTTAAATGATTAAAAATGAGGTTATTAAAAGAAACATAGGTTATGTATGATCCAAGAGTATCATAGTACGATAAAACTAAGTAAATAAAGCAAAAACACAGTTTTATGATATGAATACAAAGATCTAATACAGAAATGTTTTGCATGATAATGGCTTTTATATAAAAACCCGAAAGAGAAGAAGAAAAATGTCCTGCATGTGGTTTTTCCAAAAGCATAAAACAAAAAATAATAAAAAAAAAAATCTTGGTTACTCGGGTTTATGGAATTATACTGGAAGTATTCCTTTTTTGAGAAGCTGGAAGTATTTCCAAAAAGTCTTATAAGGGAAGCATCAGCCACCTGACAGGCAGTGTACAGTTATTAGTAGGGGAGGGGCAGCAGTGTTGCACTGATCTATGCTTTAAACAGCCACAAAAAAGTCCTTGTAGGAATCCTTAAAATTACTTTTAACCATAAAAACATAATGATAGAAATTATTTGATGTTTTCAAACCAGAACTAAAAAAAGGAAAGAAAACCCTCTAAACACCTTCCTATCACATACCACAATTTAGAATCCACAGTTCACTAAACTTTTGGTTCCAAACACACAGCTGAGCAAAAAGTGAAACTTTTCTATTCTAAATTTTGTTTAACAACACAGTCGATTACTTAATTTCTTTTTCTGGCATCTCATTTGGAACACTCAAACATAAATGGAACAGTGTAAAGGAAAATCAAACACTCTTGTTATACCTAACCTATATTTTTGTTTTACCTCGTGTGTTTTTTTTATGAATGAAAATGTCAGCAAAGGGCTTAATTTGTATTTCTTGCTTTCATGACAAAAAAGTATCAAACCTTTTTCAGCCAACTGATCAGCAGTGGGCAGCAATATATATAAATATCTGCATTCTTCCAATACTCCATGTACAGTTGGAAAACTGTCCAGCAAGTATGCCATTTTCCCTATCGTCTCATTAAAAGGATTTTTAACTCTGGGAACAGGAGGCCAAAAAAAATCTAGCTTTAAAACATTTGGTTTTGATTAAGCTTGATACCATAATCAAATACCTAACTGCAGTTAGAGTTCAGGGTAAATCCTTTTGTAGATCTGTCAGTTGTTTTACACACAGTAAGGTGCTTTACAATACAAATGAATTATACCGAGACTCAGGACGTTTTTAAACTCAAGTCATCTCCTAAAACAATTAATGGTATACATTTTGCAGCCTGTAATGTAAGAGGATTGAAAAAAATTGCTTTCTTCCAATTTATATCAGAAAACGTGGTTTGGTTTTAGCATCCTCCTGTCACATGTCAATGTTTCAAGGAGAAGCATGCTCTGTGTCTCAGTAGATGCACGATTGCCTACCAATCTGCCTATTGGTGTACAAAAGCATGTTCATTTGGAGGGGAGTATTGATGGATGTGGCTCTAGTGTAAAACCACTAAATCATGTTACCATTTGCTTTAAAAGACTACAGTCCAGCCACAGTGGTGAAATCAAGTGTGTTTCTTTCTGAGGAGCCCGTGTGGCTCTATATATGGTATTGTAAGGCAGGCTGCATGGATCACTCATCAACTCGTCGTCAAAATACTGAAGATGTAAATGTTTTCACTGAGCTACATTCCTTGCAACATCAAAGCTCCAGCTGAAAGAGAAGCCACAGAGACCCTAAAAGCAAGAGGGGATTATTTTTTTACTGATAGTCGAACATGAAATAACTGTCAGGAAGTTTGTTTCTGACTTTACTTTGACTTTTTTTGTGGTTCTAGATAGTATGTTCATGTTTCTCCTTAGAAAACAGTCTTTTTACAAGTAGTAGGATCTCTAAAGCAACACATAAACATGGTTTAGAAGTAAAACAAGAATAACTAAGTGGGGATCAAGACTGAAAGTAAAACAATTCTGCACTCAGTCTTGTAAGAGGTCTTGCAAAAACAAAACACTGGGCCAAAATCAGGACTCCAAGGCTAAGTTGTATTCTTCAACTGTAACACTGCTGTCCAATTCTGCAGCTTAACACTGAGCTTAATATTATCTGTTTGCTTGTCATCTCTAGGAGATCAGTCTAAGTCATCATGAAACCAGATCTCCATGAAACTCTTTTATTTTTTAGTGGAGAGAGGAAGAACGCTAGGTCAGTAGGCAAAGAAATATGTAAAATATGTTAAATTCTGTTAGATTTAGTGGAAGGTTTGTTTGCTCAAACTCAGTGAATGCTCAGAGCGGTGGTGAGGAGTGCATGACTTCTTAATTCTCTTGTCCATATAAGGGAGGTAGATGTTTTTTTTTTTTGTTTTATTCCAAGTCAGGCAGAAAGCTGATGAGGTCACTTTTTTAAAGGTACAGAAACAGCTGAATGTTTGAGGGCTTTTTCTTTTTTTAAAATGTACTGCTCTTCTTATTTTGCGGCCTCCTTTTAAAGATAATGCAACCTGGAATGGGAAATCTCATAATGCATTAGATAAGATTTGACAAAGTGAACTGTGCAACCTTAAATCAGTCAAATAGGGTTATTATATATACATGTAAATCTGTACAGGAAAATTATACTGCAAACCTGAATAAATAATACTCTTTGTCTGGATTATTGAATTAGATGTGGTCCAAAAGGCATTTTGTTGTGGATAATCAGGCTATGATAGTGCACCATATATACCTTATTAAGCTATTAAGAAGTCAGTAAAATGGCATTGCATAGTTGCAGCCTGTGGTGTTATCCTGCTCCTCTTAACTAATTTCTCAGCATGTGTATTGGCTCTGTATTTCTCAGTAAATCATCTCCCTTCTGACAGCACATAAGGTCTAACATTATCATGTATTTTTGCTGGTTTTGGTTTAAGGTTAGATCTCCATTGCAGAAAGATCTGATACATCCTAGAGAAAAATCCAACTTGGCTTTTTGTAGTATGTCTCACTGATTACAAAGTGATGTGGGCTTTGGTCTTCAACTGGTTAACCAGATCATAACATGCACTGATCTTTTCCAAACATCCTGTTTTCCCCCCACAGGCTAAAAACCCACATTTCTTGGTTTACTGGTGACTTAAACCAACCAAGTTAGAGGGTTAAGGTGGATATCTTTGTTTTTGCATCCTGACACACTGTTCAACTTTGCTTAAGAACACCTTGCTTAATTTCTTGTTTTGTTTTCAATAGATTATTTATTTATTGTTAAATTACCTTTTTACTATGCTATTTGAATTAAGTTCAACGTAATTCAATTTGGTTCATTTATATAGCGCCAATTCTCAAAACATGTCATCACAAGGCACTTTACAGAGTTCATTCAAATCATACAGAAAGATTATTTAGAAGTGTTTTACCTAAGGAAAACCAACTGCTTACATTGAGTCACTTTCCAGAATTCCCTCTTTCTGGATGAGCATGTAAAAACAGCAGCATTTGCTAGTACCATGTTGTTTACTTTGCAGCAATCCCTCACAGCGAACATGCATGTAGTGTCAAAGTAGATGTAAGCACTTTTAACAGCAAGAAACCTCAAAAGGAACCAGGTCAGTGTAAACATCCTGTGTTAGCCAATTGGGAAGAGAGAAACACACACACACAAAAGGAAAGTAGAATTGATCTATGAATACTTTCTTTTAGAGAGGATAGTAGTAAACTAGCTCCATATGGTGCTCTGCATAGGAAAGAAACAGTCAAGCTGGTTTTCATGTCAAAAGAACGAAAGAGAGTAAATAAAGTTAGCTGCAGTAAAATCTAATCCAGTAGCTATGTCTTAGAGAGAAGTAGGACTATACACTTAAAAAGTCAAGCTTTACCATTTATAATTGAAGTTGTTGATAGCAGTGATGCCTCGCTGCAGGACAGTGTCACAGCCCAAATGTAGCAGAAAGTGCATAATGTTAAAAGTTAAACTAACAAATAATGCAAAACTGAAGAATGAGAGTAGCACATAGCAGAGTGAGGAAATGTAGTCTTTTTTGTCCTCCAGCAGCCTAATACTATAACCAAACACCTATAAAGATAAATAATCCCATAAAGTCAATACTGATGAGATCTGGGGGAATGGATTGCTGAACAGCGCTATGGCTGTGTGTGAAATCTAAAATTATTCTAATTTTTTTCTATGGATGAAGAAAATATACGTATATACTTAAAATATACTGCTCTTGGTTTAGAAATGGTCACTTTATGTGACAATATACTTTTTTTTTTAGATTACGTATGATATTTCTGAGTGTTTAAAGTGCCATCTCCAGGTTTGTTACACTACGCTTCCTACGAAAAAACTTTTTTTTTCACCATGGCTACATCATCTACTACAATAAAAGATAAGGATGTAACCCGGTTGACAAGATTCTCCATTTGTGAAGGGGAAGAAAGGAAATGATTGCCCTCTGTTGTTTATTATGGAGGAAAATAAAAAGACATATATTTTAAAAATTGTTCCACCATTATTTAATAATGATCTGCTAAATGAAACATTCTTTTTAGGGACAGAAACTCCCCCAAATCCTGTCAAATGACAGAGGTTGGTGAACAAATAGTGTTCTTTTCCCACGAGTTCCAAAAGTATGAACGTAAGAATGTGTGAGTCTATGCACATTTTAAACACGGCCAAAGGGTTCTATTGTAGCTATCACTTTCAATGTCAACATGAATTTCAAAACTATGTATCCTGTACCCTTTTTTGAAATCTGAATTTGCAACACAATTCTGGTGCATTACTCTTACTATTTGTGTACTTCTGTCAAAGTACGAATTATAGACAACTGTCTTTACACAGAGACTTGAAACATCTCTCTTTTCTTATATTTGTGCAACAAATATAATAATATAATATTATAACATAATATAAAATTATGTGTCACCATATGCTGGTTAGTTTTTCACCAAACATTAAATTTTTATATAAAGGCAAAAGAGTTGAGTCATACAAGGCTTAAACTGCAAATAGGGGTTTCTGATAAGTGTCTTTCAATAACTGTTTTCTTCTCAACTCAACTCAAAAGCTAGAATTGCAGAGTGGACGACTGATATTTACGCTATCTAGTTGTGGATTACTTAAGCTCCTGAGAAGTTATCATAAACCTTAAAACCAATTAATGCTCCCTATCCATGGTCTATCCATTTAAGTGGCTTGCTAAGTTTACAATTGCATTTATTAGCTTACTGTAATTTATTCTGACTTAGTGATGATTTAGATGTCACTATTATCTCTTGCTTAGGCTCCATTCTTGTCACTAAGGTACTCTTAGAAACGTTTGAGGTTTTTAGAGAACAGTCATATTCATAATAATTTTAAGTTAAAACAGCTTGATTATTTTAACTAGTTGATTTACATCAAGAACAAACTGGTTACAGTGGATTTTATCCAGAGTTATCAGAGGGAGGAAGAACATATGCACTTACAAGAAAAATATGGGGTGCTTACTTAAAAAATGTGTTTCACATACTGTAGAAATCCATTAAAAATACTTTTACGCATTGTGTTGAAAAAAAAGTCAAAAATTAAATGAGTGTAAAACTCTTTGCAAAGTTGCTTGGTGGTACATGTGGTTGAACCTTACAAATCTTTGGACTTGAGAACAATAATAATAAGTTGATTAGACAGTACTAGTAACTTGACATGTAACATGTCTTATCCTGTAAAGCAGGGATGTCAAACTAGTTCCAGAAAGGGCCCGTGTGGCTGCAGGTTTTCTTTCAAACCAAGCAGTAACACACCAGACACCATCCATCTCATCATGTCATCATGTTAAGATTGGACTCGCTTAATGAGATGACAGGAGTCTGGTGTGCCATTGCTTGGTTGGAAAGAAAACATACAGGCACACGGCCCTTTCTGGAACCAGTTTGACACCCCTGCTGTAAAGTTATTGTGATGCGTTAAACCCATATCTGTCACATCCTATCCATGGGACATCGGTGGCGCTTCCAACTTTGTAGCCTCATCCTGTCAAAGTAAGGCTGCTGTCCATTAGGATGGTGTTGCATTGCGGAATAGACCATCCAAAGGGTTAAAGAACAGCAGCTGATATGATTCATACTTTTTCAGCAGTTTCAAATAGATGTTATGTTATTTTTACTTTTTTCTTATCTTATTGTGTTGTGACCGTCACTATGTGTAAAGCTGCTGCTACACTGCAATTTCCCAGCTTGGGATAAATAAAGTACATCTATCTATCTATCTATCTAGCTTTTGGTGATTTTGGTGTGACCAGTTATCAGGTTAACCCGGGGCATGTTGAAGGGATTTACCAAAAATGTAAGAATGTGATTCGATTTAGCTACTGTAGTCTCTGAGAAATGGTTCCTCTGATATTAGTTTGCAGTTTAAGCCTGCTTTATTGAAACTAGTAGAAAAATGGCTACCCTGACATACACCATTGTGTGATTAAAACCATTCACTAAGAAGTGCCCAGTAAATGTGAAATTTTTTTTTTGTACAACTGGACAAATCTGTTTATTGTCAGCTGTATTTACCTGTTACATCTTTAAACAAATGACTCACGGTTCACTTTCATGTGCAGTAAATTTCAAACAAGACAGGGAGAGGGAAAATATGATTGCCTTTTGAGCCTGACTGTGTATATTTGGCTTCCAAGGAGAGCAGCGACAAACATTCCCCCTCCTTTTTTGGAGTTTGGAAATGTTACCACTTGGTTCCAGCAGAGTCCATCCTCCCAGTACTAAGGTGTGATTCCCGATGGACGGCTGCTCTTACATCCTTTTAGGGTCTGTTTATGCACCACATATAATATCTGAGCATAAAGTCAGGGGGAGTATTATAAAGTATTATACTTGCTTCTCTTATAGTGTAGTAACAAGGCACGTAGAACTGTTTGGAACTTTCTTTTTGTAACAGCTTTTATTGCATTTGAGTAAGCCATACTGTGGGGTTTTGCATGCCAGATTTAAGTAAATTAAAAAACAAAACAAAACTGAGAAATCCTTAAAACCAGAGTGGAAAACAGATCTATGCCTTTTGAACATGTTATTAATGCGCCATCTAGTGATTATTACTTTTTACTGCAAGTGTAATTGTCCTTATAATAGAATGTAAAGAAAGAACTGATGCACTGAAGTGTCACCTTTTCGACATTGAGTGTCTAGGTGTGCATCATTGTGTTTTTGAATTTAGTATAGTAATTAATATTTTGAGGGAAATAATTTATGTTGGCTGTTTTTTATAGAGGAGGGCCTAAAAATAGTGTCATATTTTTAAGTTTTGTATAATGATAAATAACATATTTTGCAAGAAATTGATAATAATTGGTGAACGTTTGAAATAATAAGCTAATAAACTATCAAATGTTACTTTACCATTAAAAGCAATAGTATAAGATGTAAACCCAGTAAATTATTGCTACTCTGATGGATTTGCTCCATATCATCCTCATGGTAAGAGTCCCTACTTAGGTTTTTCATGCTATAATAATTTTTTCTTCCAAACTTTAATGAAAGATTTTGGGCAAGACCTTTTTGGATTAACATAAGTTTAGTGTACTGGATGCACCATTTCGTTTTTATTTTACTTTTAGGGTTTATGGTCTATTGGCAATGAGGGGGGACCATATCAGATAATAATAAAACTAGTGTTTATGTATTTAAGTTTGTCTAAGCTTTAAACCTACCATATTAGCAACTGTAGCCACTGCACATTATAAGAAATGTAATCCAGTTTTGCTATTTGCAATAGGCCCTACCATACTTTCAGAACTGTATCCTCTGACTGTGTGGTACTAATAGGATAATTCATCTTCATAGCTGTATGAATGGCCTTTTGAGCTAATTTTATGGCTTATCTCCCCCTTTTAAAAATCTCCTATTAATAAATCATTAGGTAGCAAGAACCAATTACTGGAAAATGAAACCATCTGTCACTGGTTTAACTGTTAAAGAGGTGCCCTTTTAAATAAGTACCCACTGGCCTGGCCAGCACAGACGGCAAGGATAGCAGGTTGTTGGTTATTTTCAGTTTTTTTTTTTTTTTAACAACATTTTTAGAAGCCACATGATGACAGATTTAAATGTAACCTGTGTTGCAGTTTTTCAACATCCATCCGTCCATCCATCCGTCCATCCATCCATCCATCCATCCAATCCATCCATCCATCCATCCATCCATCCATCCATCCATCCATCCATCCATCCATCCATCCATCCATCCATATTCTTCTGCATCAGACGAATCAGACATACAGTACTTTAATAATCACAGAGGGAAATCACAGTGGAAAACTATATTTGAACCTCTTATTTACCCCAATTTAGTTTCTCCTTCCTTCCTTCCTTCCTTCCTTCCTTCCTTCCTTCCTTCCTTCCTTCCTTCCTTCCTTCCTTCCTTCCTTCCTCCCCCGTGCCCTCATTTCTTCCTTCCTTCCTTCCTTCCTTCCTTCCTTCCTTCCTTCCTTCCTTCCTTCCTTCCT